ATGTTTCTTTAACCAGATTTATATTTTCTGCTCAGTTTCCATTTTCATTGCCTTAAGCTTAACTGCAGGAGGTGAGTACACTGATCTGTTTTCTTTACACTGTTATTTTTATATACATACAGTATATATAGTCCTCTCTTGATTGCTTAGTGTTTACGTTTGTATTTTTTGCTTTCAGAAGACTTGATCAGATTAGCTGGTTCAGATGGCTACTGCTCTGGAAGAGTTGAAATATATCACAGCGGTGCCTGGGGAACAGTCTGTGATGATGGCTGGGGAAAAACTCAAGCACAAATAGTTTGTAGACAGTTAGGCTGTGGTGAATCCCAAAACATTCCTCCACCAAGCTACTTTGGTGAGGGCACTGGACCGATCTGGCTTGATAATGTGCAATGTCGAGGAAATGAAAATGCTCTTTCCACATGTTCACACCGAGGATATGGAGTACATGACTGTGGACACCATGAGGATGCTGGTGTCATTTGTTCTTGTAAGGCTGTTTACATATAAATAGCTTAACAATGTTCTTTATTATTATAAATGAGACCCTGTTTTTATGTTCACATTTAAAAGTCCTTTAATTGGATTAAATACAGATGTTTTCAGAAGGATACAGTTTACTCCAGTAATAATAAATGTAAGTTGAGTGCTTTAAGCTACTATTTAGGCTCAGACTAGTTAGAGTCATGGGGGGATTGAGGAGTCAAAAATTTAGTCTCAACAAACAAAAAGTGACTATTCTTCATGAAAGTACAAGCTTTGCCTAGTGAGGCAATAAAAAATATCATCAAAACCTGTCATGTTGGGTTAATGGACCTAACCCAAACGCAGAACACCACGGAGACAGAAGTAAAAGTTCAACAGTTTATTTTTAAGGAACACAATCCAGGTTATAGTACAGATACTGGTACAGGTCCGGGGCTGGATTCACAGGGATCTCTGATGTGGTTCAGGCTGAGAGAGGAAACCAGAGGAGTCCAGGAGCAGAGGGATTAGCAGAGGGCTAGGCAGCAGCAGGGCTAGGCTTCTGACTAGCTGAGGCTCAGTCCTTGAGTTGGTCTAAGTTCTCACCTAGAGAACAGGCAGGCGGATTCAGACTGTAGACCTCCTGGTTGGCTACCAAGAGCAGGAAGGCAGGTTTCTGATGATGAGCTCCTCCAGAGCTCCTGAGATGACGCAGGCAGATTTCAGCAAGGGAGACTCTTCCAGAGTTTCCAGGGTTCAGTCAAGAGCAGATTGGCAGGCTTCAGACGATGAGCTCCTCCAGAGCTC